CCTAGAACTTGAGGAGGATCTACCAAAATATAGAACAACCCCACAAACTTGAATCACCCCAAGAGTCCTTGGACCCACATGCCAGATCTGTGCTGACAGAATATTGGAACTCTGCATATTCACCTTCTCCATAGTTAACCCTGAAAATGAATTTGAGGTTGCAGGGAAATACATTTTATGCAATCCCATGCACCAGGCCCTGTGCTAAGCTCTTGTCATGAATTATTTCATTCGGTCTTCTCAACAGCATTACCAAGTAGGTATTAGTAGCTGCATTTTACAAAATAGGGCAACTGAGGCTCTGAGAGGCTAAGTCACTTGCCTACGTTTCCTTAGTTTAAACGGAGTGATAATTTCTAAGTGTAGGTCTGCTTGGTTCCACTTTCTTCAGCATCATATGAGGAAGAGTACGTCAATGGAGGTGGGGTCTATCGATGAATCACAAGCTAGAGTATTCTTTTTCACAGAGTTTGATAGGTATAGGAGTGTTAGACAATTATTTGGTTAAAATATTTTAGTTGTGTGTAAGTATCTAAAATATGATTTTGCATGACACTGATTTTTGAGTGCTATACAAACATCTTAATAACCAAGGCACCCTGGTACAAGTTCAGCGGCTCAATCTACTTTAGTCTTCTAAAGCTGGGTCAGTAAACAACAGCTCATGGACCCAATCCAACCCACTCCCTGGTTTTGTGAGGCCCACAAGTTAAGACTTTATATTTTTTTAATGGTTAAAAAAAATTAAGAGTATTTTGTGACACATCAGAAGTACATACAATTCAAATGTCAAGGCCCATAAATAAAATCTTTTCAGAACACAGCCAGGCTCATTTGTTTACATTTTCTATGTCTACTTTTGTGCTACAACTGCATAGTTGAGAAGCTGTGACAAAGTGGACAGTCTGCAAAGTCTATGATATGTATTACCTGCACTTTTAGAGAAAATAGTTTGCTGACCTCTGTTCTATGCCACTTACACATTCAAGTGTGATTTGGGTTTCTATGATTTTTTTCTATGAAACTCTGAAAAAATTTTGACAGCATGGGCCGATTTGAAATGACACCGTTAAGTTATGGTTCCAGTGCCTAGTCAGTCCAGCTTGAAAGTCTGCTTTCCTCAGTCATCTAAATACATTAGAGTTATCTCTAGATGGTAAAGCTGGGCCTTACTACCCAACCTGTCCTTCCGTTACTCATCTTGACTGTGTTATGGGTTTACTTTCACAACATTATGAGTTCATCCAGGCTTCTTGAATCATTTATAGGGATTTTCATCTTCGCTCTCAAACTCTCACACACTTTCTCTGCTGTGAATTTTTTTTCAACATAAAGCTCAAAGTACAAAATGGCCTACACATGTAAAATAAAGTCTATGCCTTTTAGTTTTTAACTTTAGGAAATCAGAATTTTAAAAAATTGCTTAAAACATTGTTTTTTCTTGGGAAACTAAACTTAATTTTGCAGGTCACGGAAGAAAATACCTTCCTATTCAATGATCTCAAAGCACCTCTGGTGGAGATACATAACAAAGTAAAGAACGTCTATTTATTTTTAAATACTGTTTACTTCTTGGGGGAAATACTATTTGATGGAAAATATGAGACCAGTAAGAAAGAGTCCGAGACTATTTCAGCTCTGCCAATGACTCACTTTGACTTTGGGCAAATCATCTTACCACTGTTGCTCTTTATCTGCAAAAACTGGACTTCATACCTATGGGAGTTGCATGGCTAATCAATGCCTGGAAAATGCGTAGTGGCAGATGCTACAAAAAGTGCTGAGCCTTAAAAACAAAACCACCCCCACCCCCCATTTGTATTCAGTTGAGGTTGAGGTTTATTGTTATTTAACATTCGAAGGCCAACACTATGTGAAGTCCAGCATGCTGCACAGGACAGATATTATCACTGTCCAGTAGGGATATTTTTTGAAAATCTACAATTTTTGACTACACCCCGCCTTCATTGTGGTTTCGGATTATTTTAGAATCCAGTAGTATATCTCTACAAAAACATTAAGCTTTAAGTTGAAAACTATCGATTAAAAAATCTAAATAAACCCCCTCCAAAAAATAAAGGCCTCCGCGCCCCGCCAAGAAACCTCTTAAAACAAGAATTCTTCTCATGTTTTTTTCCTTCCTGCAGTTCTCCATGTTACAGTCCTTGGAGGTAGAACAGGCATAAAATACTTTCACTAATAAAATATGACAAACCGCCGGATTATACGTGGCCGATTCCCAGCGATTGCCCTGCTACACAAAGCAGAAAAGTAAATGCCATCATCCCCCTTAGAACAAAAGAACTTAGGAATAAAAAACATGGAGAGGGGGGAGAAAGCAGCAATAAATAAAGGTGAGCGAAGAACCCCGTCCCCCGCCCTTCCCCAAAGCGAATGTGGGACTAAGTACGGCTAATAAAGTGGTTCAAGGGTAGTTATTTGGAAAGGGGGCGGGGTGGCGAGGGGGAGGGAGCGGGCGAGCGGCGGCCGGGGATTGCATGTTGCATTCGACTTGAGGTTGCATCTTTCTCCTGTTGCCTGGACCACGCTCCCCCATTGCAGTGCTTCCCCGTTGCTTCTCGTCGCTCCGGCTCTCGCGGCTTTTTTCTCCCACCCTTAAAACTGCTGTTGCACTGGAGGGAGTTGGGGCCGCTCCGGAGCCCCTTTGCAGCTCCTGCCGGCAGGAGGGGGACTTGGGCTCTGGTCGCGGAGTTGGGGGGGCTGCAGCCGGCTCCGGCCTCGCCTCGGCTGCAGCTTCACGGGAGCCGAGCTGCAGCGCTGCACCGGCCCATCATTGCGGCGGCAGCGGAGTTTGGCCGCCGCTGCTCCGTGTTCAGCCCCACCGCCGCCGCCGCCGCCGCCGCCACTGCACTGGAGTTTGGCTGCTGCTGCCCTACTTCACTCTAGTTTAGTTTCACTCACTTTACATCCGGGTTTTTTCCCTAGGCAATGGGGGCCGCAGCACACCCCGTTCCTTAGGCAAAGTGAAATAAATTCGCCGCACCGACACGTCAAGTAGTCCGCCCGCCCGAGCGCCGCCGCGGGCCCCCGCCGCTCCCCCCACAGCCGCCCCGCCGCCCCCGGGGGGCGGACGTGCATCCAGGGAGCCGCGGTCGGAGGCGCGGGGGCCCGGACAGGCCGCCGTACAACTCCGCCCGGTTACCCCCTCCCTCCCCGCCGTTCCTCTCTACCCCAGTGCCTCCTCTTCCCCCGCCCTCGTCCCCGCTTCCCCAGCCCCAGTCCCTCTTGCCCGGCTCTCGGGAGCGGCGGGGGCGCGCACGGCGGCGGCGGCGGCGGGCCGGCGGGGCCGCGCGGCGGGCTCCCGCGCGGGCGAGTGTGTCTGGGCCTGGGCGGAGGGATCCCCGGGCTGAGGCGGCGGAGGTGCTGCGGCCCGGGGCCGGGTGGTGAATGGGCTGGTGGTGCTCGCTGCTGCTGCTGAGAGGAGGAGGAGGAGGAGGATGAAGAGTTGGGCTTGTTTGTCTCCCACAGTTTCTCTCCTGCTGCTCTGATTTCCCCCCTCCTATTCCGGCCCGGGGCCTGTGTGTGTCCCTCCTGGAGGAGGAGGAGGATCCAGTTCCTCCCCCCCCACCCCCTCCTCCCCACCCCCCCCTTTGCCTGGGGAAGAGGAGGAAAGAAACAGCCCAGAGAGAGAGAGAGTGAGTGAGAGAGAGAGAGAGAGAGCGAGAGGAGGAGGAGGAGGGAGAAGGGAACAACCTACCATCTTAACACACTAATATCTAAAAAGTGCGAGAGGCCCAGAGCAGCAGCAGAAGCAGCAGCAGCAGCTCCAGCTTCTTCCCTCCCTCCCCATGAAGAAGAGTTCCCTCCTCCTCCTCCTCCTGCTTCTCCTGCTCAGAGTTCCTGCCTCCAGCTGCCAGGGGGGACTGCCAGCCAGCAGGAGGGTGCAGTATCCCAGCTTTTCCATTCTCTCTTCTCCTCACTCTCCTCTCTCTCTCTCTTTTTTTTTTCTTGAGTAGCTCTATTTCCCCTCCCTCCCCCTTCCCCCTCTCTCCTCCTTCCCCTCTCCCTCTCTCTGTCTTGTCTCTGGTATTTGTCTCTGGGAGGAACAGGGGCTGCTTGCCTGGAGTTTGTTGTGGGGGGAGGGGAGGGGTGTGTGGGAGGGAGGAGGAAAAGGGGGGTGTTCTTGCCAGGACCCCGCAGTCAACTTGAGATTTGAGCAATAACTTCCCCTTCGGGGCGCCCCCCTGCGTGCCCTTCCTATTCCTCCCCCCCTAAAAAAAGACAATGGAAAAACCTTGTCTCCCCCCCTTCCTCCCCTCTGCCCTCCACCCCTCCCCAGGATAAATTGGAAGTAAGTTTATGAGCAGCCTCGGGAGCCTGGGCGCTGAGTGCAGGGCCGGAGCGGGTGACAGAGGCGGCGCGCCGGGGGTGGCGGGGAGGGGGCGTCACATTGTCCCAGCTGGGGGCCGGGGAGGGGGCCACCGGCGGGGGCGGGGGGCGCGGAGTCTTGTCCGCCCCCTTTGGCAGTCCCTCCGCCCAGAGATGGTCGCCTTGGCTCTTTCATCACCCTCCCCCTCCCCGGGATGCTGTCGGGGGGAAGTTTTTATTATGATTATTTATTTAATTTTTTTTTTTTTTTTTTTTGGAAAACCATCTTGTTTGGTGACTGAGGGATCTGGTTATAAAAAAAAAAAAAAGCTGCGGCTGCTGACGCTGCCGGGCCCGAGTGTGTGTGTGTGTGTGTGTGTGTATGTGTGTGTGTGTGTGTGTGTGTGTGTGTGTGTGTGTGTGTGTTGGTGCATTTGTCTTGGGTAGCCGGAGAAGCGTTGGGGAAATTCCGCTTATTCTTCTTCTTCTGCAACTTGTTATTCCGGAGAGTCTGCCTGCACCCCTCACCCCGGGGCCGGCCCTCCCGCACTCGCCCCCACCGCCCGCGGCCGCGGGGCGCCCCCGGGACCCCGCGCGGGCCGGGGTTGGCAGGCCGCTCCGAGAGGGGCCGCAGCCGCCCCTCCCCCGCCCGCGCCCCCGCCGGGGGGGAGGGGCGCGCGGAGTGGGACTCTTTCCGTTTGGTCCAGCCCCGTCGTGCACGCAGTTCCCAACACTTCTCGTCATCCTGTCTTTGGTCTCTTTATTCTGCTGAGCGGTGCTGTTAGGATTTCTTTTTTTTCCCCTGACCACGTTCGCTATGGTGGGTAGCAGCAAGGTGGCACTGTTAGGGGAGGGGTTGATATCTAGATTTGGGCACCAGGGGAAGAATGTCTCCTTTCAACTTTGTCTGTGGCTTGCACCCCCGGAGAAGGCCACACGCCGGTTGTGGGGTGCAGATGTGCCGAGAGTGATTTCTAAGTAGTTGAGTTGTTGAGATGAGGGTACAACTGCTAATGGTAGGCAGGTTTTGTTTTCATTGGTGAGTCTAGTGTCATCATATTCTGGTCATATGTTGAGATATTCTTTGTTTAGGTCTTGAAGTAGGGAATCTCACTCTGCACGTCCACATTGTGTTGTTTTTAAATGATGTCTCTGCGTGTATGGCTTTCTAGAATATCAAACGTGAGTTAAGGTCCGGGCCTGTGTGGGCCTCAGCACTGGCCTTGACAGTGAACTTTGTGGCTGTGTTTTGGATTTCAAAGATTTGCCCTGTCGTCGAGGAGCGAGCTGTTCATTTTTTGTTCATAGTAAGTGTTAGGAATGTAGATGCTTTAGCTGGGGACTTTAGAGAAGGAAGAACATTTATATATTAATAATTGATAGCTGAATATTAGAATCAGATTAATTTGGGCTGATGAAAGTTTTTTGTTGTTTTTTTAAAGCAGTGTGCACTCTAGGAAGGAAGCCTTTTCATGGGCATACTTTATAGGGATTCTTTAGGGCAGGGAGCTGGAATATCTCCTTTTATAGAGGATACTCATCAACATCTGTTGTTTCATTGAGGGCCTAGTAACGGGACTGAAATAGGGGCTAAGATATATAAGTGTACTTTTCAGTGTTTATGTTGTTTGTTTGCATTTGATGTTCATTCATGTTTGGGCAGTAGAAATAAATAGGTCAGCTTTTCTTTTAGTTTTGAAGACTAGCCCCCTCCCCCTTTTTTTAAGTTTCATAATTTACTTGGTTTCACGGTATTGTAGGAGACTTACTCCATTTTTACGGGAAATACTATTACTCATTTTGATTTTGGTAAGTTCCTGCCTATTCCCTTTTTCTGTTTCCACTTGTGTATGGATCCACATCATGGGCTTAAAATGAGCTATAGATTCTATTTAAAATGTCTGAAGAATGTATTTTAAAATCTCAGGACATACCTTTTGAGGGCAAAGAGGACATTTTTATGTGTAGTTACTCATGTTTATAAAAAAATTTTGTATTTAAAACTTATGTAGATGTACAGCTATGTTTATAAAAATTTTCTGTACTTAAAACTTCTGTAGATGTACATCTATCCTTAAGTGAAGAGCATGGTAATAGTGCAGAAAATTCTCAAAACACAAACTTCTGGCTAACATGTAAAAAATTATTTCAGGTGCTTTTCTTTATGCCAGATGTTTGCTTTTGTTAACATAATAGTATTTGCAATATGAGTGGTGTTGTTTGGCTGGCCATAATAGTCTTTTGCTTGAGTGCTTTTGACTGCTTTTTAACAGTTTTTAGATAATTTTACAAGCTTTCTTTAAGCATTTTGTACTTTGGACTCAGGCAGGTCCTTACAGAAATGGAATAGTAATAGGTTAAAAAGACTTCTGCCTATGCCAGATTTTATTTTTAAGAGGCATAAGTGATGGACGGGGCCCTATTTCTTTTAGCTTTGAAGGGTCCATCCTTTTTCCCATTCAATCATCTGGAAGGAGCTGCCTCAGAAATCTTCTTCTGCTTACATGAAGAGCTCTAAATGCTATCCAGCAGGAGGTGCTACAGCAAGATAAGCACATCTCTGAATTTTGAGGGTCTTGCTACTTATGACAGCTCTACTTAGCTTCAACTAAGCAACAAGATTAACACTCTAAAGTTCCAGAAAGATTTTGAGTAAGTCTATTTAAAAGTTCCATTAATAAATTATACTTGCTATTTAAAACTGTAATCTTTGACGGCTTTTTACCTGCTTACAATATTATACAAAGTAGATTTGTTATTATGGATACCTTAAAGATGATGTGCCTAGTTACAGAGTGCTGTTAGAATTATTTCACTTTGGAGTTATTCTTGTATTATGTGCAATGGCTATAAACTAGTAGTTGATATGACTTGAGACATTTTGTGATCATCCCTGTAATAGTAATACAAATAGGATTTAGAGTACTTGAGATTGTGGAAAGGGAGATAGTGTATGAAGAAAATTTTATACTCTTTTTGTGTTTATTTTTTCTTAAACCTATGGGCAGTTATCTTAATAGACAAATTCTTATGCTCTCAGCTTTATAAATACATACAGTTGATGTATTTGAATTGGCCTCCAAAGGCTGAAACTCTTCAACTATATGTAAGTAAAGTTATATTTGTGGGTATAGATCATTGCTTTGCTGATGATATGTCCATTACTAACAATAACTCCATAAAGATAAAAGAAGTTTCATAGCATTTATAGTACTTGGTATTTGAAACTCTTGTTAGTGTTAGGTGAATTGATTTATCACTGGAAATATCATGCTACTTGGTGGCTTGTAAAGTTTTATATTAAAGTTTAAAAACTTAGGAATATATAGAAAATTTGATAAACCTGCTTTGAATTTTGCCTGTTTTCTAGACAAATTGCTGTACTTTTTTCTCTGTAAGATCAAATGAGATAATACATGTGAAGGTCCTTTGTAAATTGTCAGAAGCCATGCAGATGCTAAGTTGTTGAGATAGGTAACTAATTAATATATGGACAGAAGCTTCTGTCTTTAAAATGTTAACTTTCTCCATATCATTTGGGGAAATGAGTGCATTAAAAGTGCACCTTGAACACCTTATGACTTTTTTTTTTTTTTTTTTTTTAGTACTGCTGTGGCTACCAAAAAGCTCTTTGTTACAGTTTTGAAGCTTTGTTTAAAAAATGCTGCCTAGGCAGTTTCTCACAATTCAAGAAAAAGATTATTTTTCCTTCTGTAGATCTTGTGAAATGTGTATCTCCTATTAAAGTTTTTCTTCTTTTCTCCAGTGATATGATAGTAGTTGATTTTAGTGAATATTTAAATTCTTGATTCTTGTGTAGACTCTCATTAACACGCAGAGTAACAGATGTCATAGTTAAGGTTTTGGTTGTTTTGATTGATTCTGCTAACTTCTGAAAAATTCCTACTAAATCTTTCAGACTTGTTTCAAAGTGAAAAAGATATATACCTGTATGCATTAGTATTAGGTACATGTGTAGATCTTTATTTTTCTGTTTCAGAGGAGTGCATGAGGAAATGACAACTCAAGTCTAGAGGAGAACACAAATATTTTTAAAAATAACTCAAAAGTTTAACGTTTAGAGCCTTGAGCTGTGGCTTTCTTACTAGACTGTTCACATGTTTTGACCAAAATAAAATAAAATATAGATAATTGGGAGTCGCTGTGTTTATGAGCATATCTTAAATTTTAGAAGTGACTGTTCTTTATGAAATAACTCCAATTAGTAATTAAATATACAGACTTGCTTCCGTGAACAGTGACAGAAACATTTAACTGTTTAGATGAAAATGAAACCTCTCAGGGTAATACTAACTTTTCCATCTCACAGACAGTGAATACTAAAGCTTTTCATGAGGAAATACCAAAGTTAAGGTTATAGTAATGTGCTTTTAAATTTTGTATCCTTAGTATCTTATTGCCAAAGGCTTTTGTATTTAATTACTATTCAAAGGGAGAAAAGGAAGAGATTAAAGTTTTAGGTCTCTAACCTTTGACAGAATTCCTTCATATGCAGAGCTGATTTCTTGAAACATGTTTGACTCTTCATATTAATATGTGCTGGGAAATATTAATGATTTATGTTAACTTCTCAAGAACTTTTGTACATGGGTGTTTTTGTAGGCTGTAAGTATTCTTAGGGATTATAGCAGTATATTCTGATCACTTTAACTTTACCAGGAGTGTATTTTTGCTGCTTTGAGATTTTTTTTTAAAAAGAGGTAATTTGTTAAAACTGCATAAAATTTATTATAGACAATTATTTCTTAAATAGCATATGCTTTCTTCTTTGTGCGTTTGTGTGTATATGTGGCCATATTATTTTATAGGCGTTCATGTAATTCTTATTTGTATATGAAATTTTTGAGCAGTTATCTTTTGTAAGAATGTTGAAATAGGCTTTTAAGAATAACTTTTATATTACTTGTCTGTCAGTTCAGTCTTACAATGGAGTGGTTGTAAACTCTTCCCTTTTAGAGATAATATGTGAGATTCAGTCATCCTTTGGGCTTTCCTGAAGCAACTTTCTTACACTAGACACTTGGTTGGAAGTTTGAATACCCCTCCATTTCTCTCTCCCTCCAATATACTGCGGCCATCCCCCTCCCTGACTTTAAAAAAAATAAAGGATAGTGAGGAGGCCTCATTGGAGGAAACTTTCCACCTATATTTTGGAATCATCTGCCGGAGTGTTTTTCTGCTTTTTTTAAGGAGACAAAAAAGTGAACTGGTAATGTAGAGATAGGAAGGGGATGTGGCCTAACTGGTTGGTGATCTAGGCATTATTTTGACTCTCGTTGTGGGCCTAGGGGAGAAAAATAACTTAAACACAGAAGCCAAAAAGATGGGTTTTGTTTTATTGTTTTGGCTGCATTGAGAATACAAACTGTCAGTACTTGAGGAGAAGGAGCGGCAGAGAGGAATTGATTTTTTTCTGCTGCAGATCCAAGTATTGTTAACCATGTGCATCTCTAAGGCAGCATACTTACAAATCAAACAGTAGTTGATTTTTTCACTCAATTAACAGTGAGAACCCTAAACTGTGTTTTTAAAAAAATTTTAAATAAGTACCAAAAACTTCAGAGTAATGACAGTAATTTCCTGATAAAAGTGGGTGATAGTAACCATGGCAACTGCTATCTCTGGCCTTATGGACAGTATGTTGTATTGATGAAGCTTCAGATCCTGTTGTAGCCTGTCACTTTTATGGTGAAATGTGGTAGCATGTGTTGTAGGTGATTTTTAGCTGGATTGTGTTGAATTTGTTTGCCAGCTTATCTTTTCTTGTTAGAAATTTCTTGGACTGTATTCCACAGCATGTTTGTGAAGGTGCTGTTGCCTGAAAATAACCCACCACCTGTGTTAGGCCTCCTGATGCAGATTGCACTTAGTTCTTTCTCAGCCTCCTCCTCCAGGCTTGCAGAAAATAGGGGTGAGTGTAGAATCCATATAAACATAGATGGCAGCGTCAGTTTCTTGCTTGCGTTTGAACATGTTATTGATAGCCTTTTAAAAATCTTTATGTTTTTAGAAGATGTTGGTGGATGAAAGAAATGCATCTGTAGTTGGAATATTTTTTTCTAAGTGGTCTTTCCAGAAACAGGTGTGTGTGTATGTGTGTGTGTGTGCGCGCGCATGTATGTTTGTGTGGGTAATGAAGGGTAAAAGTGGAGGGGATAAATTTTGAGTAAGGACTTGAAAAAAGAGGAACTTAGTGTATTTTTGGTGTGTGTGATGGTGTTTGGGTGGGTATTACTATAGGAATCTATTTCCTAGTGGGCAGTATTAAAGTATGGAAAATGTTTTCTTATGAGAATTTTCTTTAAGAAAAATCATTTACAAAACGTAAGTTGAAAGACCGTTAAGAGAAAAGCTCAGTAAAACAATTAAAATCTTTTATTTGGGGAGTAGGATAGGGAGCTTTGAATCTGATTCAAGTAAACTTTAAGGAAATTGTTTCAAAAATTAGGTTTTTAAATACAATTTTTAAATTGTATCAAAATTTGCTTTCTAAGCATTTCTTTGATGTGCTTATCATGTATATGGTTTTTCTAATGTGAAAATACTGAGCTAAATATAAATTGATACTTTTTTCATTATGTGGTAAAGAAATTGTGCCAGAGCAGAGAACAAATTAAATCTGAATTTGGCTAATCCTGATAATAAGACTTAGTCAAATTGTGCTAGATAGTTCAGACTTTGTTGAAACTCTACTGTGCAGAGTGAAGTGGTTTACTTACTACAAGTCCCAGGATGCACTGCGGGTTTGGGGTTTTTTTTAAAAACTCCAGAATAGAGCATTGCATGCTGGGACCTGTAGTTGATTTAAACAGCACAGGGAACCCTTCCCTCTTGTCTACTCCATTTTATACACATCTTCCCAAGCCTCTAAGAACTTTCTGCTAAGTAAAGTTTGGTTGCTAATATCATAATTATTATGCTGCTGATGTCCTAAAGTGAGTCTTAGAAACATCCTGGTGTTTTGGTTTACCTTAGATTAGTTTGTTGTTTTTTATCAGTTACTGTAAGATTTACATGTAAAATAATAGATTTATATGTATATATATGTCTGTGTATATATATTCAACACATGACTTAGCAATTGTAATTTTTTTGGTATGTGATGATATAAATCTCTATAATTACAGCATTACTGATTGCTCGTATGGGTATTAGAAACCTGTAATTGTAGGGCCTGATATGTATATGCTGTTCTGTTTTCTTTGAATGGGGACAGTTATTCAATAAAGTTGGATGGAAGGGTTTTTTGTGTGTGTGAGCGCCAGTATTTAAGTTCAGAGTTTTTTTGATTCTTCTGTAATAATTGTCAACATTTTAAAGAATCACAGTATTCTTTAAATGGAAGACAGATGCCTGAAAATAAATGTCGTTGTAGTGTAAATTTAATACTTAAAGGTATTACCTGAAAGGTAGAGAAAAAGATAAGGTTTCTTTAATAATTTGCTTGTGTTATCATTTGTAAAATCTAAATTTCTGTTCTTCTGAAGGCTCTATTTATTAACTAATATCAGAATGTTGTTGCAGGGATTAAATGATAAAAATCTGTGAAAGTGTTTAGCACAGTGCCTGGCACATAATAAATGCTCAGTAAATGTTTAGAATTAGCAGCAGCAACAGTGATTATTGTGATG